ATATATATATATATATATATATATATGTATATAAGGAAAAAACCTGATGCTACATTGTGAAAAATAAAATGACTGATGGAAGTACAATGAAACTATGAACGTTGTGACTTCATAGACCAAAATTGTTACAAAAATTTATGCAGAAGAAATTGTTACAAGGAACACTGTGACATCAGTTTGTTTTAAAATGTTTTCATCTCAAGATATCTCTAAAGAAAATAAGAACCAAATAGCTTTCTACTCCCCTCCCACAAAAAAAAAAAAAATTATAATTATGTAGGAAATTTTCTCTGTAATGACTTCCTGCAAAAGAAGTAACTGTCAATTCCTGTGGGTTTTGTGACTGAGATTTTGAGACAATACACCTTTTTTTTAGCTGCAGCATCATTGATGTTTTTAGAAAGATTTTCAAAAGTGAATATTGTACAAGAAATCTATTTGATATTTTTGTTGTAATATAATAAAATTTGGTGTTCTAACAGGGAATGAAGAATTAAATTATATTAACAATTTACTCACAAATACCGCTTTCTCAAAATCACCTCCATTTTTAAAGTGAGATCATTTTATTTAGAGTCCTTAAACGTGGCAACTTCACAAAAGCCCAATTTTTACACCTGTATGTTAATAGCTTAATTTAATATTTAAAATTCCTCTGGCATTGTAACATTTTGTTTTACTTTCCTCACAATTAGTTTGTGACTATTATTTTTTATTCTATTTTTTTTGGTTTAGTTTATCATATTAAGCTTTTTTGTTACTAAAGAGTGTCTTATTTTAATATTTTTTTAAATTTTCTATAAAGATGAAAAAAGTGAAACATTGCCACAATTCTGCCTTTTAACTCAAAACATTATATGCAGCAAGGAATTGTGGGTAATACACTTTGCCAAAGTCCACATAGCTGCGGCCTTATCGTAAGAGCGGAAATAGAACCCAAAAGGGGCGCACCCAAACCCTTCGACATGAAACATGCATTTGAAAGACACAAGAGCAGAACAAGGATGGCAGTGCGAGTAATGGGCTGGGTCCTAGAATTGTAAGACTGAGCGATATCAAGGCAAAGAATACTCAGTGGATGCTAGTGGGCCCCTCCAGACCCCTATAAATTTAGGGCCCCTATTAATAGTTGAATTGTAACATAGACAATAGATCTAAAACGTCAGCATTCATTTAGTGAGAATGACAATGATATTACATTTTATTTAATGCGTTAAGCAGAGATCAAATAAAAAAAATTGGATTTAATTAGGAAGTTTACTTTGTAAAAGTGCAAAAAATTATCTTGATAGTTTGATTGTTGTGTTACCATGGCTACAATATGGTGTTAATTGTAATCTTTGTGTTTGAGCTAGGTTTGTTCACAAATACATCACAGCAAATAATAACCAATAATCAGTGATTTATTTTAAGCTCAGCCAATTAACCTTGGCCCCCTCAAAAACTATATTTATACTAGAGGTGTGCCGATCAATCGACCAATCATCAGAGTATGATCAGTGATCGCTGATCACTGTCTCTTGTTGCAGATCACCACTAATTTTTATCTCACTTCGCAGACTGCCTGTGCAGCTGATCTCCTCTTTCCTTCACACTGCGCAAGCACGCGGCAAAAAATCCCGTCTTGTGAAACTTTAACGGTCACCGTAAATGGGGAAGTTTGAGTGTTGCAGCGGAAAATTACCACGGGAGAGAAGCATGTCAAAATGCATCAACACAACAAACACTTGACAAAGTTTGGTTATATCGAGGCTCACTGCAGGGAAAAAAAAAACATGTGGAGCGGCCAGAAAGCAGATAAAGCAGCGCACAACTACCAACACTCACCCGGATTAGCATCACGGTCCGAAAGCTAAACAAATAGCCCAAAAAATAATTCACGTGTTTGATCTGGTGGTTTTAGACGCTGAGATCTGCTCTCGCTCTTGGACTGCCGCTACGCGCTACTGGTAGTAATATTTCACAGACTTAGCACCGTTCAACCTCCACCAGACACTGAACTCTCACACTGAACGTATGCTTAAAGCTGCAGCATATAACTTAAAAAAAAAAAGATTTTAGATATGTATTAAAATATGTCTAGTATGTCTAAATTAGGTGAATTTATTGCCAGATAATTTTTCCATTTTGCCAAATAACATAGTGTCATTTATACCTAAAGCGAAAAATTCACCATTCCAAGCGATTGACAGAGATTGGCCTCATGAATGAACGGCATCGGAATCGGCAGTAAAAAACCTGATAGGAGCATCCATAATTTAAACACTATTAGTGATGATGATGTTCTTAGTAGAAAGGACGCTCTAAATCAGATTCTGCCTAAGGCCCCGTGTTACCTTAGACCGACCCTGTATGAAGAGATACAGCCACTCTGCTGCGCATCTTTCTGCTGGATGCTCACCTCTATTATATCCTAGCAGAAGCTGTGTGAACCCTCCTGGTGGCAACGTTAGGTTAAGGTGAAGCAGAGAGTGAACAGTGAGCAGGTGGTACCGGTGGTATCAGGTGTACAGGTATGTTGCTGTGACAGTCGCGGTACTGTTTTTTTAAATCAGGATATCTGATTCTGATGCAAAATGGTGGGACTCACTCAGGCTGCCTGTAGCGAACAGGGCATTTAATCCGGCACTCCCATGATAAAGTTAAAGTCAGAAGTTTCCTCTGCAACCAAACCATTTCTGTGTTTAGGAGCGAGAAGGGTTTTTGCTGCTATTGCGAGCACAATTCCAAAAATAAGTAGAAACAATTTTTCTAATGACAACATCAAACCTATATATTTATTCACAAACAACGGTATGTTGAAAAAATGAAAAAAAAATAATAATAAATTACCCATAATTTGATTGATAAAGGGCGCAGTTCTGCCCCCTCCTCCTTACCGTGGGCTTGGTGTCTTAACAACATAGGAAGAGGCACTGAGAATCCATCCAGTCATTATTAGACTGAGGGCAGCCAGATGAGGGGCACAAGCAGGCCTCGTAATGCACACATGATAAATCTGTTTGTTATATGATGACTTTTTCTAGGCATTTCAGTTTTAAGGTTTTCTTTTGACAAATTAATACAGCCATGTGCGATAAATGGAAGAAAATCCTGTTTAGTTTGGAGACAATCATGTTGTGTGGATTTTCTGACATATTTAACCCAACTTGATTTTCATCCAGATGATTCTGTGATAACAGCAGCCTGTTGTTCCCTCTCTCTTTGTGATGCTGTCCTGTTGTCTCATTTAGTTCATGTTAGATGCAGCCAGAGAGGTCAGACCCAACCTGTATGTGATAGCTGAGCTCTTTACAGGCAGTGAACTCATAGACAATGTGTTTGTTAACCGACTGGGAATCAACAGCCTCATAAGAGGTACATGCATATATAAATTAACTTGTCCTTTTGTTTGTCTTTTTCTCATCACTGCATCCTTTTGCATGTGACCTCTCCATGGCCTTGGTGTTTTTCCATTGTTTTGTTTCATTAACTATTCTGCTGCATGTATTACCTCTTATGGTGTCTGTTATATCAAATTGGCTGTTTGTCCTCCAATATACCTGCACAACATCCTCGCTCTCTCTTTCCCATTTCTTCCTACTTGTACTTCCTGCACTCTGGCTCTGCATTTGTCCTGCTGCTTTGCTTTGCCTTGCTATTTCTAGTTCATGTTGGATGTGGCCAGAAGCCAGTGTCCTAGCCTGTATGTGGTGGCTGAACTGTTCACTGGCAGTGAGGAGCTGGATAACATCTTTGTTACCAGACTAGGGATTACATCCCTCATACGAGGTACAGTACTATGCATGCTCAGTATATGCAGCTTTATGTATAGGCAAACCTTTGATGTGTACTTCATTACTTCAGTTTAGCAGATATTTATGCACCCCATCAGACTAAATAAGTCCTAATAATAAAAATAAATAAAACTGGTTTGGGGAAATCTGTGTTTTTGTGTTTATAATGACTTTTTTACTTTGAAATATATTTGCTAATTGTAAAGTTGATGATGTAGCTATAAAGATGTAATATTTGTACATGAGTTGTGACGGCGCATCCTGTTTTAGCTAACCCTTATGATCCTCTCCGGTCCTGCTGCCAGAGGCCATGTCCGCCGGAGACAGCCATGAAGAGGGCCGGCTGGTCTATCGTTACGGTGGAGAGCCAGTCGGAGCCTTCGTTCAGCCCAGCCTGCGTCCTCTCATGCCTTCCATCGCTCATGCCATGTTCTTGGATGTGACCCATGACAATGAGTGTCCCATTCAGGTGGGTCTGTGCTCTTGTCTGCTTCATATAAGTCTCTACTTACTGTGGGGCCTCGGGGATCTTGGCTTAAATTCCCCTGAGTTTTAATTTGACAGTTTTTGACCATAAAGCAGATGTCAGTTTTATTTTGTTGGTATGATTGTTTCTCCAGCTGCGGTCAGCTCTTGATTCGTTGCCCAGTTCTGCTATCGTCTCCATGGCCTGCTGTGCTACTGGCTCCACCAGAGGATATGATGAGCTGGTCCCACATCAGGTTATTTTAGATCACACGCTCAGATGCACTTTTTACTACCTACGCTTTACTTATTATTATTTTTATTTTAGCCTATAGTCTGTAGTTGGAAAGCTGGATGTGAGTATGTCTCAATTAGGGATGCAAACAATTAATCAACTTATTATTAATTGTCGGTTTAATGGTTTAGATTTAGGTTAAAATTGGTTCCATTCAAATAACTAACAACATCAGGTTAGACATCCTTTTTGTGTTGTAGTTTGCCCCAGAAAAGGGCATCCGTAAGCAGAACCAGTTCATACATTAAAAAAAGTGTTTTTTTAAGCTGTCATAATCTCTTAACAGTACAATATGAGACAGATAAGTTCAATCAAGGTCTTATGGCTGCTCCCAGTGGTCCTACTGCCATCTTCAGAAATGCACTGCTCCCAGTCAAAACAACCAATGAGAGCCAAGAAGAATGTCTTAGCACTGTCATTCATTGTGTATGCAGTGCCTTACACATTCCCTGTAGCATATTTAATCTCAGTATTGTGCTGCAGCTGTGCTAACGGGGAAACAACCTAAAGTTACAGGAGAATTGTCAGTTTTTCACGTTCATGGCAGGAACCGAAGGGGGTGAGGGAGTGTAAGGTGTGAAATGCCCTACTGCATCTTTAATCCTAAGATATAAATACATGAATTAATAAGAGAATTTGCTTTTATATCTGTGTCTGTGTGAGAACAGATATCTGTGGTGAAGGAGGAGCGTTTTTATCCCAAGTGGAATCCCTCTTCAGCTCCCACCTCTACTGGTGAAGTTGGCTTTCAGAGCGGCATCATCGCTGGGAAACTGGCTCTCAACAAGCTACACCAGGAGCTGGCTGCCCAGGGCTTTTCACAGGTCTGAGCTCGTAGTGACATAATGCTTCCTGTTCCCAGCATCATGTCTAACTTTCTCCATTTTTCAGGTGTATGTGGACCAGGTTGATGCAGATATCGTTGCAGTTACTCGGCACTGTCCCAGCACACACCAGTCTGTGGTAACAGTGAGTAGGACAGCCTTCAAGAACCCCAAAACCCATCAGTACAGCAACAATGTCCCACCTATGTTCATACCTGGTAGGACTCTATTATGTTTGTTAGATATCAGATATGTATGTGCAGGTGTTTTGTGCCAGTTCAATTTCTCTACAAATGTTTGTTTGTGAAGCATGTTTTATTTATTCTTCCCTCCCCAGGCAAGATTGAAGAAATTATACTGGAGGCAAGGACAGTGGAGAGAGAGGCTGGGAGTTACAAGAAGGATGAGAAATACATAAATGGCATGCCAGAATACACAGTGGAAATAAAAGAGCATGTACTGGTAAAAACTGTTGTGCACACTGAAGATGTTTTTTTTGTTTGTTTGTTTGTTTTTAAGTTTTTTTTCCCAGCTGTAGTGGTCTTTATTTAAGATTGGTCAGATAGGAAAGTGGGTTATGAGAGGGGGAGGGTATGCGGCAAAGATCAAAGAACCCGTGACAGCCACATGGAGGACTAAGGCCATCGTCGCCCCCTACTGATGATTTCCTAGATGTTTTTGTTTTCTACCTCTATCCTGATGCCTTGGCTGAAGATACACAGAACAAATGTGGAAGAAAAACTATCTTCAACATGTTTTTATTTTCTTATCTGTGGTATTCAGTTGTTTTAAAAATATATTGTTTGTCTTTATTGCTGTAGACATAATAGCAAGCAACCATAATTATTCTAATAGGCCTGTTACAGACATATGTTTCATAGTAAAGGAATTCTGCTATGTGTACAGATGGAGGAAAGTGCAGTGGTGAAACATGCTGGAGTGACCTCTAAAGGCCGCTCAGAGTTTGTGCAAGAAATTCAATTCCAGAAATTGACTCCTGGTAGCATCATTGCCTTCAGGTACATCTCCCACAGTTTCTGAACTCCTTCAATTCCCTGTGCATTATTACTGCTTGTCAAAGCAACTTTTATTAGTTATTACTAAAAATATTTTTTTCATTCTCTGTCCAGAGTCAGTTTGGATCCCAAAGCACAGAAGCTGGTGGGCATGTTGAGATTTTATCTGTCCCAGTTCAGTCCAAAGTACAGGAGGGGCAGTGTACCTGATGAGAACCCACCTGAGGTCCTGCAGAAACCCCTTACACAGTGAGGATTTCCTTTTTCTCATTTCATTATGGTATATAAATAAACTGAATTAAATAGTATATCTTTATTTCAGAGAAAAAAGTAGTCCATATAATTCATAAAAGAATAAAAATAAAATGAATCAAGTAAAACTATTTAATATATAAAAATATATATGTTTAAAAAACTGGAATCACTAGGTGTTGCAGTTGTCGGAGGTCTGACAACTGCAGAGTTGAGTTGATAAATCCAAGCGGCACTTAAAGTTACACATGAAATTCCTCAACACTTTATTCATGGTATGTTATTCATGACAAACATTCGACTTGCAGATGTCCAACGTGAGGAGAATTCTAAAATTCTCCTCAGAATAGGCTATTAGCAGTTTCTTCATCATAACCTTACTGTAGTTACACCATAGCTGAACTGCATAAAACGAGATGCAATAAGTTCAAAAGAGAGACACTTTAACCTCATCTATACATATGCAAAATGTTTGTGCCAGCATATTGGCTTGTATGTACAACTTATAGCATTGTCACTTCACATCATCATCACAGAGCTCACTCCTCAGAATATGACCAAGATATTATACATTATTAACCAAAATCAACACTTCATTTGCTAAATAAAAAATTTCCTTCAATGAGTAAATACATAAATCAGTACTAAGCTTACGTTTAAAACCAAACTGATTATCAGTTGTTATGCATTCTTGAAGGTGATTGTAATTGTCAATACCTGATATTTCCCAGTTTTTTCTTTTACTACTGGCACTAAAAGTACTGATAACATGGAGTCAGGTAAAATGCTATGTGTAGCATATATGTGTAAACAGTATAATATATATATATATATATAACTGAAAATAGATCATGACCAACAAAGTCATCAATGTTGTTGTCAGAAGTCAAGATACAACTCATAAAGGAGTAGACAGACTAGAAGTTTGCAGATGTGAGTGCCTTGTATTCTCAGTGAATAATTATGTACATACATTACAATAAGAAAGGGAAACAAAACAACATTCAAATGGCCATATTAAATAAAAAAAAAACAAAGAAAACAATTAAACAAATCAAAGAAACATAAATTAGCTCTGTAGTTCCGGCAACAAGCCACACCATTCAGTTTATAAACTCCCCGCCACACCCCTAACCCCCTCCGAACTGGGGTGGTTCAACAAGATCAGGTGAGTTGGTTAGAGCGCTTGCTGGAGTTCCTAGGCTGACAAAAGTCAGATCAGAGTGGGAACAGTTTTGTTCATTGGCTGCAGGAAGTCTCCCACCAGCCTGGTGGGGGAACCAAATCTTTTGACACCACAGGTGAAATCCTTTTAGGCCCTTGGACCTGATTCTTCAGCTCGCCATCGAATCTGGCCTGTATAATAAAGCAGGACCAGTCTCAAATATATATAATCAAAACATTCCAGTGTGCACACAAAGAAACAATTGGCACTCATTGCACTATGAATAATCCAATCATCATTTTGGTAATCAATGTATTTCCAAATACAAAAAATCAAGATAAATCTTATTCATAAAAAAAACAATAAATATGCTCCATGCAAAATCAATCAACACCAAAAATGTAAAAATCATCAAGCTAGGCAAATACTTAAAAAAAAAAAAAAATTAATATTTAAGGCACCTCATTGTTCTCCAATTTGTTTGTTCAGAGTCTCATTAGAGCATCCGGATTGATATCAACTAATGCTAAGTCTTCATAAAATGACTCACCAATTCCGCAGTTCATAAGGCATACAATCGGTTTTGTTTCTCTTATCCCTCAGCTTTACTACTGGCACTAAAAGTACTGATAACATGGAGTCAGGTAACCTAACTTTAGGAGTCGCCTGTTTACAACAGGAGACTCCTAAAGTTAGTACAATTTTATCAGCATCATACAAGATTACAGAAAAAAACTGAATATTGCACTTAACCGACCTGCGGCTCTGCTCTCCCAAACTTGCTCTGATCTTCCATGCTTCTCGCTCCAGCTAATATACCTAGCTAATGGGCCGACGGTGATACATGTGACACAACCACTCAACGATTGACTGCTTAGAAATTCTCGTGAGAATTGCAGTTATATATCAACTATCGTGATATTTTGAAAGGCAAAGAGGATAAATAGTAGAGAACCAGAAAATGGAACTCAACATCTACACTCGGGTTACACATGGTTTAGAAAACCTGTGAAGCATAGTGAAAGTAACACATGAACTCTTTGATTAGAACACCTCAGGTGCTCTGCAGATATTTGGTCAAGACCGCATGCTTTATTTAAAGGCATTTTCTCAATAGCAACACATACTTCATCTGGTCTAGCATTCATGCCGTTATTGTAATCAATATTACCAACACTGAACCTCTGACTATTTACACAATTAAAAATTCTACAGTAATGCTTCCTCCATATTTGCCCAATTTTCTTATTTCCAGTAACGTCTGAAATATTTGCTGGCAGCAAAGGCTTACTGCTATTAATGAACTTTATCTCCTCCCAAACCTCAGATACATTATTATACTGGAGTTTACTTGTGAATGATTCTCTGATCATTCCTTTTTAAGAAGCAGACAGCTTTCTTAAATTTAGCATTTGGAATTTTCTTAAGCTCTAAAGTCATTATAGATCTTGGCTTCCCTGTAGCAACCCAATCCTAATAGACTGCTCCAGACTCAGCATGAAATGCAGAGGC